GGCCCGTCCGGGTGAGTACCACGACCTCACAGAAGACCAGCGTCAAGTGGAAGTATGACAAATAATTTCGCGTTTCGTTTGGCGAGTGAGGTAGCCGGAGCCCAATTTTCAAAAGGTTGTCAACGCATCTGTAACGTCTCAGATGTGGCAGATGTCCATGGGCGGCGGTATTCATTTAGTGACGTGGTTTGTATTAAAACGTCCCTTGTCAAACGGCGTTAAAGTCTGATAGCTTCAACAAAGGCCTCGATATTAGTACTGATACGCGATGTTCTTATCCACTCACACTATTGTTTGCAGATGGCGTCGGATATACTCGCAGTAGGGCTTTGTTAATCCATCATATATTTATCATACAAAGTCATTACTTTTGCGTTTATTGTCGAACATTATCAACAACTCATGAAACGGTTTTAATCACAATTTTTCATACACAATACATAAATTTCGAAGAATAGCACTATTAAAATTAATGTACTTTAAAATTCATTCAAAGCGTAATATCGTCGTGGTAAATAAATCAATGTGTACAGAGCAGGATAGTTCTATGGGCAATTGAAAGTTGTAACAAGAAGGAATAAATATTGGGCGACGGCAAACTTTGCGTCAAGCACCTTTTGGCATCTAGTTCATATTGAAACAGGCTTCCATTAAAAAGTTTTAGAAATGTACAAAGAATATTCGATGTGATCGAACATATAAGGAAATAAAAACTATGGTATCCGTGCAAACGAATTCGATTTTGTTATCATATTTAAATGTAATAATTTATTATTTACACTATTAATTTACATTCTATTGTGTCACAGGAATTTCAATGTAAAACCGATTCAATAATGCAGCAGTGTTTCGTTTTCCACGTACCAAATTAAATGAATGCAAAATACAATGAGATATCATTGTATTTCATTACACGCTCCGGCAAAACTTGTTTGAAATTGTTCTATATTCATGAAACTATAACATCGTTAGTGCACATTGTCCGAAATTAATATTCAAAGATTAATAAACTCGATGTTTTTAGCTATTTGGCAAACAAAATAATATTTTAAACGAATACGCCATAGAAAGGTGGCCATAACAAAGGCATTCAAATCTTATTAAATCACTAGCGACTCGCGCAGATGCAATATATTATTCATTTAAACCTTCCTCTTGAATCACTCTTTCTAGTAAAAAAAACCGCATCAAGATCCGTTGCGTAGTTTTAAAGATCTAAGCATACATAGGGACAGACAGACAGCGGGACGTCTTTATTTTAAACTATGTAGTGATAGTTGAGATAAAAAAATTACCCTAAAACAAGCGAGAGGCAGTTAATCCTTATTTGTACTTAAACATGCTTAAAATTGCAAATTTTTTTCACTTAAAATTATTTCCGGTAAAAAATAAATATGACCAAGTTAAAAACAATTCTGCTTCTTGTGTTTTTATTCGTTATACATAATATGTATACAATACGACTTCGGAATATGACGCGCTCAAATTCGCAAGAGAGCTTAGATAATACTTTTACTTCAGTGCCGTGAATGAATAGACCACCTCGACTTGGGAAGTATCAAATCGAGCTGGTCCATTCATGTAGCAGACAAAGTTATGTAAGCTTGTAGCTTTATTTTGATATGTTATATAACATTTATATACGCAGATACATATGTATATACGAGAAAATTAACGTACGATCAAAGGCTTCTAATATACTTTGGCGCTTACAGCTCCAGTTTGCCATAAATTATAGTCGCATTTATGGCCAGGTAAACTGGAGCTTAAAGGCTACAGCTTGAGTTTTAAGCTCTCTTTCCAATTGATTCCATAAGTGCTTAATAAGATTTGTTGGTATTAATCGTAAGGCAAAGGGGTTCTCATTAAAACAATTAAAATTTAGGTGTAAACGTATTAATTATAATTAAAATTCTTACAAATAATAATTAGAAATATAATTTATATAAATTTACCCTATTGAAATTGTTATAGAATATATTAATGTTCACAATAATTATACTATAATTTTTTGCATATAATCATATAATGTAAAACTGCATGAAAATGAGAAACAACAAAAAAGGCTTACTTATAATATTACTTATAATATTAGTACCCGGAGGACCGAGCTTTGCTCGGTTTGTTTTTTTTTTTTTGTAAATCGTGTATTTTGGAAATTACATTTAGATACAAATTACTGAGTAATGAAATATGCATAATATTTTTCGATATTACCGACGTAATAATAAGAAAATATGAACTGATGTTTTTCACAAAAGAATGAACTTTAAAAAAAAGGGGAAAAAATAACAAAATAACAAATCGACAAAAAATTAAAAATAAAGAAAGCAATGATCTGGAATCGAAAAAAAGTAAAAAAATAAATGTGTAGATGATCGTGATGCGAACCACGGCCGTCTGTTTTGGGGCCGCCCGATTACAGACAGAGCTATTATGACATTTTCTCTTGCGGCGAAATTTACCGTCATATTCGAATTACATTTTTCATTACCTGAAAACAGGGATAAAAGGATTTTCTAAAAATGAAACCTAGCTAAATCGATTTTTGGCCCTTGAATCTATGCACATACTAAATTTCATGAAAATCGCTGGAGCCGTTTCCGAGATTCCGATTATATATATATATATATTTATATACAAGAATTGCTCGTTTAAAGGATAAGATTATTAATCGTAAGGCATGATAAATTTGGAACGATCTTTTAAGAACAACTTTCATCCACTGTATAAAAAATCTATTTTGGTCGAAATATATGTAGTAAGTTGTAGTAACTTGCCACGCAGTAGTGTCAGCTCTTGAGTTCCGTACCATATATCAATAAAACGGAATACATCATCTGTGAAAATTTTAACTGTCTAACTATCACGGTTATACAGCATGGTGACGGACGGACAGACAGACAGCGGAGTCTTAGTACTAGGGTCCCGTTTTACCCTTTGGGTACGGGACCCCAACAACCGCTGATGCTTTGGCAAAAAGTCGATAGTTATTACTTCAATATCAACATGATAAATCCATTGTGCGGTGAATATCGATATAATAATTTTCATTTCATACAGTCCGGCCGGACGCCGGAAGACCGGCGTACAGTGGAAGTATAATACTTTCGCGTTTCGTCTGGTGAGTGAGGTGGCCGGAGCCCAATTTTCAAAAGGTTGTCAACGCATCTGCAACTGTCGGGTGTAGCAGATGTCCATGGGTGGCGGTATTCACTTAACATCAGGTAAACCGTCTGCTCGCTTGGCAACTAAAAAAAACTTTACTATGGTAGGGTTACGCAACAGCTTCTGCTGTCAGGGAAGTAGCACGACTTCTCATAAGACCGGAAGAAGTAGAACACTTTCACGTTTTGTCTGGTGAGTGAGTTTGCAGGGACTCGATATAGGTAGTCTTTTATTTTTTGCGAACTGGTACTTCACCTAAGGTTGTAACAGCCGCCCAAGGACATCTGCAAAAACCGTAAACCCGTTGCAAATGGTTTGCCACCTCTAAAAAAGTTGGCCCCCGTTACTTCACTCATTAGACTAAACGTAGAAGTGTAACTCTTTCACTTCACGTCGGTCTTCTGTGAGGTCGTGGTATTGGACGAGCCTGCCCAAACAATCATGAAATCATGAATCAAACAGTGAAACATCAAATATTCCGAGTCTGGCGGCCGGTTTCTGAAACACTGATCATCGTAGATGTCAACTAATCAGCTGTCAAATGGCTTTTCAAATTTCATTTTAGTTTTAAACTCTCTGAATAGACTAGAATGATCTTCTAATGATCAGATCAATCCAAAGAGTTTAAACATCCTTTTGGCAACTAAAATGAAATTTGAAAACCATTTGACAGCCGATTAGTTGACATCTACGATGATCAGTGTTTCAGAAACCGGCCGTGAATGTTGCATAGTCTGTGATATTTCGGTAACGTCATTGTTTTGTACTATCATTTTATTATCAGCATCGCCGTAACTAGGTGTTGCCAGCGCTACCCAGGCGCAGAGCGCAGACTCTAGTGGGGCAGAAATGACTACACTAAGTGCAATATTGATATATATCGACGGTCACTACATATTTATAGACATGTCAAACATTCATTCTTTTTATTTCATATCGGCTTTAGATTTTCATTATACACATACCTATACACATTTTTTTTAATATTGTGTATTTTACTTCATTTACAAATCGTATAAGAGAGCATATATTATAATAACAACGAATAAGGGTTGTAGTTGTGGATATCTAAACGTATAGTTTTGTATGGTGTTTTAAAATGCGCGTCAATCGGTACGAAGGCTAACACAGTCTTGTCTGACTTAGCGTCATTCACGGGTGCTCTTCATAAAAGACATGTTGATCTTGATGCTTGTTTCCGTGGTGAAATTATTAATGTTTTCATATAGTTTATATTTAGTGGTGTGTTTTTTAGTTATAAGTATTCATAACTGGCCTGCAATAATACTGTAAAACATGAACAGCAAAGTTATTGGTAGAAATTGCAAACTCCATAAATAATGTTTTACGAGTTTCTGAAGCACAAGATTTAATAAATTTTCATAAGATATTTTATTTAAATTATATTATTTTACACACTGTTTTCTTCCATCCTGCGTATAAAAAGGTGTCACAGACATGTCTGACATGCTTTTATTTTAAAATAAGCGTAGAAACAGTCATCTATCAGTTTTTCCAAGAAAATATAAAAAATATAAAATAAGGCCACCAGCATCCATATATATCTATATATATATATATGGATGCAGGTGGCTCAGGATCGGGTTTCGTGGCAAAAAGTCTAAGACTATTGTACTGGTAAAAGAAATATTTCATAGGATTTTGACAATTACATATTATATGACATGTCATATGTCAACGTCACTGTCACTGACGTTTCGCGACGGAACCGCTTGCTTGTTACTGTAACGTCAACAATCTATTCTATATATTAAAAATCGAAAAATACATTCGCATTTTGAATAAATGCCCATATTCTTATTGAATTAAAAATGACGAGCGTCTCCTCTTATAACAATGATAAAGTCGTCACCGCTGAGGTGGAATATCCTGCCAGCGATCCTGCTTCTGGGGCGTTCTTCCAACCAGATTATAAGAAGTATGTTACTGATGTGATTTATTTATATAATGTAAATATATACACACCAAATTGCATTACACGCATTTTCAATGAGCAAAAGAAAAAATTCGTTACTTTCACCTGTTAAAATAATTCTCGCCATTTTTTACGTTTAATCAGTAATTTTTGCCTTTTCATATTTTATTTTAAGTAATTGAAAACCTATTTCTTATCACACTTTGACAAAAATTTGAAACAATTATGTCCTATTCATTTACACTTACATTTACAGGTATTAGAATTATCAATTTACTTTTACTTAGAAATTAATAAAATTTACTTTACAAAATAGTTTTAGTGGCTCAGTTTTCCATAGACGTCCGTTGAGTTGGAGGTTGATTTTTTTTTTATAGAAATATTACATTATTAAAAGCACACACACAAAGTTTCAGTTGAGAAAAAAATATATAAAATTTGTTATTTTCACTAAGCAAGTTTTACTAATTTAACTTCAAAAACTGAATGCACAATACAGCACAAATGCTACAGACATGATAAATATAGGAAGCGAATGACATCATACTCATATTGATTGTAACACAATTTATTAAATTTTTTTGATTAAAATTTTATGAGTCACAGATCCGACACAGAGTAAACTGACTTGGCTAGATTAGGTTAGTAGGTTAAGGCGGGAGCTCTGCCTTAACCTTCTTCTTGTATCGATTTGCTTGAATGGGACATAACAAGGTCTTATCAGTGTACAGTAGAGGAATTTTAAATAAATGGACTGACAAAATAATAAAACATTTTACACATTGAAGTATCAAATTACAGAAATGAAGATCTCAAGATGATGCTGGACGGTTCTAAGGACTCATTGAAACTTGAAGCCATGAAGAGGATAATTGGGATGATTGCTAAGGGAAGAGATGCATCTGATTTGTTAGTAAATCTACAAGTCTTCAATTTTATACTACTACATACATTGCAATGTCACACACATGCTTTTAATTTTGCAGTAATAATTTTAACTTGGCAATAAAAAAAACTGAAAATATCATGTTATATTTCTACAAGTTTTAGTGTGATTATTGCTTCTCTGTAAGAAACTTGATAAGTAATATGGCTTAAAAAAAAATACAAAAACATACAGCACATCCCTATAAGGGTTAAAGGTAAAATTTAAGTAACAACACTTCCTTTCCTTATCACAAGCCAATATAATTGCATAAATGTTTAGAAAAAATTCTGCTCTAAAATATGATCAAAAACCATAAAAAAAAAACAAAAAATGTATTACTTTGTATGAAATATTTACTATTGAAATCATATTTCCTAGAGATGGTGTCAAATCACCTGTGTTATATTTGTTTATTGATTCACCTGTGTTTATTGATACTTATCACAAATGGATGTATATATTCTTATGTGTTTTATATTCCCAGGTTTCCCGCTGTAGTGAAGAATGTTGTGTCAAAGAATATTGAGGTTAAGAAACTGGTCTATGTGTACTTGGTACGATATGCAGAAGAACAACAGGATTTAGCATTATTGTCCATCAGCACATTTCAAAGGGCATTAAAGGTAAGTAATATGCATAATTTCATCACATTTGTAGCTCCCGATTACTTATATTTCTAATTCATCTGTACCAATTTGAATAAAATGCCATTCATTTAATTGACTAATATACTGAAATTGCTGCCTTATGACAGGCAGCTAAAAGTTTTGTCAAATAAATATGTTAATTTTAAGACCCTGATAAAATTTTCAAGCTATGCAATATGTTTACATATCATCCATACTAGCCCATACATATTGTCTGGTGCTGCAAAAATCTTAATGTAGGTAGATGTATGTGTTACACATATTCTACAGCATGCAGCACTATTGCTGATGGGTAGAGTTCTCATATTTTAAAATATTATTTTATATTTGATACACTCTGTTCATTATATTTTTATTCATCATCAAAAAAAAAGTTGCAATTCACAATGTTATTTGATTCATCATCGGTAGTTAAGAAAACAAATATTTTTACTTTTTCTGCCTTTACATAAAATTAAGTGTGCTCCATGAAAGTTTTTCTGTGTACCCTATTCATCCTCTTCTACCTAGCATTTATCCCAGCAATTGCCAGGGTCTGCTTTCATACTTAAACTCCTCCACTTTGACCGATCTTCGACATCCTCATGGGTCAGTTCATTGGCTCTAATGTCCAGCCATCGCTTCCTTGGGCGGCCAGGAGGTCTAGCTCCCGGGACACATATCAAAGCATATCCTTCCGACATATTTTCATACCCTATTCATGTGAAGGCTAATTGTATTTGAGGAGCATTTAGAATTAAGATACCTATTGCAATATGCTTTATATTTGAAAGTATTTATTTATTTATTATATGATGATCATGATCACCTTTTTCATGTTTTAGGACCCAAACCAGTTGATCCGAGCCAGTGCTTTAAGGGTTCTTTCTTCTATCCGTGTCACTATGATAGTGCCCATAGTAATGCTAGCTATTCGCGATTCTGCAAGCGATATGAGCCCCTACGTAAGGAAGACAGCCGCGCATGCAATACCAAAGCTTTATAGGTAAGCCATGCAGAAATTATTGTGGAGCCTACAACTAGTCACTTTGATGATCTTTAAAAATTCGGTTCAATAAAACGATATTCGAAGTTGTTTGTATGCTGGAAAGGATATAACAATAGATGGCGCCAAGCATTGCTTCAAATGCTAAGAAAACAATGTGGAAGAATGCGTTAAGATTTTCGTCGGTGTGGTAATCAGCCGTTTAGCTCAGTGGCTAGAGCGTCAGGCCGCGAATGCCGAAGACGTGGGTTCGATTCACACAGCGGCGACAATCTTTTCGCACTTTTTCTACATGTTTTTAATGTTCAATCTTAAGTGCAAAGATTAGCACTATAAACAATTTAAATTTATCTAAAAAAAAAAAGCAATGGCGACATCTCTCGTTCGAATTATCGTTGTAAAACGATATTCGAAGTTGTTTGTATGCTGGAAAGGATATAACAATAGATGGCGCCAAGCATTGCTTCAAATGCTAAGAAAACAATGTGGAAGAATGCGTTAAGATTTCGTCGGTGTGGTAATCAGCCGTTTAGCTCAGTGGCTAGAGCGTCAGGCCGCGAATGCCGAAGACGTGGGTTCGATTCACACAGCGGCGACAATCTTTTCGCACTTTTTCTACATGTTTTAACTACTAACGTTTACTATTGCCCTGTATTATGGGGTATTTGTGGCAATAAACGGCATTACAACAAATTACTTTCAAACATGTTTTTTGCAAACCATATAAATTTCCAATCATTAATTTTAGTTCCCTAAAAATAAACACAATCCATTGAATCAATTTCATTTATTAATATGTATGTGACTTTAGTGCTTCATCCATTAAACTGGGCCCAACCAGCTTAAAACCACGATTGTCCAAGTGATTCAACCCCATGATGTTTGTCTATGTATGACGGTATTCACTTTATAGTTTATTTAATAGCTTGTTTATTTCTCGCATAAAAAATAAGAACTGTTTCGTTTACAGTCTGGATCCAGATCAAAAGGAAGAGCTTGTGGCGATCATAGACAAACTCCTATCGGATAAAGCTCCTCTGGTAGTTGGGTCGGCGGCCATGGCCTTCTCAGAAGTTTGCGGTGATCGAGTTAGTCTAATACATAGGAGTTTCAGGTGGGAATGTTATTTTTTATAGATAAATGAACAAAAACCTTTCAGTGCTGTGGGATTCGAACCAACGTCTACCGGATAATGCGCCTAGGCGCTTTACTAAGCTAAGCGGCCAATGACCTCAAGGCGCGAAGTGTCAAGATCTATCTACGTTCTTTATTGCATTTTTACTAATAGTTGGCGCCATCTAGTTAGCTTTGCATTGAACTTTTAGGTTTGATTGACGCCATCTAGTGTGCGTCTTTATTGAATTATTAGCAATAATTAGCGCCATCGTTTGTGCTCTTAATTGCATTTATGCTGTGATTAGCGCCATCTAGTGCGGTATGAAGTTAACTAAGATCATTTAAAGTTGAACACTTGTAACGAGAGATGTTAAAGGGGTAAAAATTTTAATGCTTATAACAATTTGAATGAAAAAGTTGGATAAACATTATTTAAATTTCAATTGATTTTACAATTATTTAACATGTTGTTTATTTATGACATACTTTAAAATACTGGGTCCCAGTCGCCTCACAAACGCAATGAAATGTAAAAGTATATATAGCACTTCCACTTCACGCCAATGTTTTACGAGCCCGTGCTACTTCCCCGGATGAGCTATCCGTGCAGATATTTTTATTAATTGCACATTATGATCACATGGCATTTATCCACTGTTTCAGGAAGCTGTGCTCCCTCCTGGCGGACGTGGACGAGTGGGGCCAGCTTGCCCTACTCAACGTGCTGACGGTCTACGCGAAGACTTGCTTCCCAGATCCAAACGAGGAGGTACGTCTTCATATAGTGGAGGATCCAAAGTGATATCGATCTTGACTTATCTGCGTAAAAAAAGTAAATTAACAGCCTGTATAAATGTCGCGTCGCACAACCACTGTGGAACCAGCTGCCGCCGGCGGTCTTCCGAAGGCCGGCAGCGCGTTTTTAAGCCCTCTGGTGTTGCAGGTGTATGGGGGGCGGTGATCACTTGCCATCGGGTGAGCCTCCTGCTCGTTTGCCGCTTATTTCCCATCCAAAAAAAAACGTCCCACAGGGGCCAAGACCGCCTCAGGGGGTATTAAGTCATAATCAGACTTCGCGTTACCGAAACGCCTACCGGCAGAGCGGGTCGAGCGACGAGTCCGGCGAGAGGCCGTTCTACGACTCGGACAGTTCCGGGGCGGGGGGTGAGGGCGGCGGGGGCAGGGGCAGCTCCTCCCCCAGCCTGGACGCCGACCTGCGGCTGCTGCTGCGCGCGGCCAAGCCGCTGCTGCAGAGCAGGAACGCGGGCGTCGTCATGGCGGTCGCCCAGCTCATGTACCATTGCGGGCCAGGTCAGTAGGCGTGAGAAGTATCCCCCCTCAGGCAGTCTTTAATATATCTTAGCTCATGTACTATTGCGGACCAGGTCAGTAGATGTGAGGACTATGCCTCCTCAAGTGGTTTTCAATATATCCTAAACATGTTTTCACTTTGTAATAATGATTCACATGTGTACACCGGACGCACCTGCCCATTCGTGCAAAAGCAAACTGTTGCAATGCCCTGCCATATCAAGTAACTGTCATTTACTTGTTCTAGCCCAAGAGCTGCCCCCCGTCGCGAAGGCTATGATCCGCCTCCTAAGGGCACCTATCGAGGTCCAGAGCGTGGTGCTGAACGCCATCGCGTCACTAACCGTCTCCAAACAGGTAGGTCCTTTTTCTCCTAATCCTACCTTCCCATCGTTCAGTTGCTGTCGCTATCATATTGCAGAATGTAACAGTAACAGCGTGTACATGTCCCACTGCTATAGAGTGTATCAGGGTGTAGTCCACCACAAAAAAGCCATCGCATCAGCAAGGTCAGAGCACATCGGAAAAATTGGCGAGAAATTAGTTAACCTTCCTTCGGGGACTCGTGCATTCTGGTCTGAAGCCAAGACTGTTTAAGGAAACTTCTGTGCGCCATCTTTTCCATCTTTGCACAGGGGAGATGATTCGTTGGCCCACACCGCTGAAGAGAAATCCGAACTTATAGGCACCCTCTTCGCGTCTAACTCGACACTGGATGATAAGGGGAACACACCGCTGACCATCCCGCGGTGTGAGCACACAATGCCAGAAATAAGGTTTCTGCAGAGCACAGTGCGTAAAGCACTCTTCTCCTTAGACATCCATAAGTCGAGCGGGCCAGACGGAATCCCTCCCATTGTTAAGGACGTGTGCTCCAGATTTGGCACCGGTTTTAACGCGCCTTTTCCGGCACTCCTATTCCCTAGTCATTGTCCCAACTTCTTGGAAGACGGCTTTAGTGCACCCGATTCCTAAAAAAGGTGATCGTTCAGATCCGTCGAACTATAGACCTATTGCCCTCACCTCTTTGTTCTCTAAAATCATGGAGTATATCATAAACTGCCAGCTCCTTAAGTACCTTGAGGAGCACCAGCTCATTAGCGATCGTCAATATGGCTTTCAGCTGGTGACCTTTTAGTGTACCTAACGCATCGATGTGAGGCCTTGGCGGTTAGTTTGGATGTAACGAAAGCCTTCGATCGGGTTTGGCACAAAGCACTTCTAAGATTACATCTTACGGGCTTACTGAGAAATTGTACAACTGGATCACTAGTTTTCTCACTCGTCGGAGCATCAAGGTCGTTATTGACGGTGCTTGCTCCGACGCTAAATTCGTGAACTCTGGTGTCCCACAAAGCTGCGTCCTGTCCCCTACGTTGTTACTCCTACATATCAATGATCTGTTGCATATTTGCAACATTCATTGCTATGCGGATGACACTACGGGTGACGCATTATATACCGGCCGGGCAAATATTTCTCAGAAATACGTCAAAGAGTATCGGAATAAACTTGTGTCTGAAGTCGAGCTTATGTTATGCAAAACCTCGGATTGGGGCAGACTTAATTTAGTCCAATTTAACCCCATGAAGACACAGGTTTGCGCTTTTACCGCGAAAAGAAAACCCTACGTCGTATCTCCCTTTTTTGAAGGCACTCCCCTTGTTGCCACCGATTCGATCGGAATTCTTGGGGTCGATATATCGAGCAGCGTTCAATTTCACGGTCATTTGGAAGGAAAAGCCAAGCTGGCTTCTAAAAAACTCGGTGTCCTAAACCGAGCGAGACAGTATATATCGGTTAGCTGCCGATATATCGGTTGCAGCTTTATAAAGTACAGATTCGGCCTCACATGGAATACTGTTCTCACCTCTGGGCTGGGGCACCGAAATACCAGCTCCTTCTATATGACCGCATTCAAAGAAGAGCTGCTTGAATCGTCGACGACCAAATCCTGTCCGATCGCCTCGATTCTTTGGCCTTGCGATAGGATGTTGCATCCCTATGCATTTTCTATCGGATGTATCATGGGGAGTGCTCTGAGGAATTGTTTGGGTTAATACCTTCTGGTGAATTTCACCATCGTACAACTCGTCAAACCGCCAAGTACCATCGAAACTTTCTACCCCGCACAACTAATTTGTGGAACGAGTTGTCGCCAGCGGTATTTGCAGACTGATACGACTTAGGGACCTTCAAGAAGAGAGCCTACCTTAAAGGCCGGCAACGCAATTGCGACTCAACCAATGTTGCAAATGGCCATGGGCTGCGGTGATCGCTTATCACCAGGTGACCTGCATGCTCGTTTGCCTCCTATTCCCATAAAAAAAACCACGCGGTCCTTTGAAATGTCTTCAAGGCAGCGGTTTCATCGCCACTTACCAATAGGTATAGCTCTAAAAAAAAAACCTAAAAACCACCGACAGTCGCTGTTCGAGCCGTACCTGAAGTCGTTCTACGTGCGCAACTCGGACCCGTCGCACGTGAAGCTGCTGAAGCTGGAGATCCTGACGAACCTGGCGACGGAGGCGACGGCGGGCGCCGTGCTGCGCGAGTACCAGGCCTACGTGGGCGGCGGCGAGAGGGCGCTCGCGGCCGCCACCGTGCACGCCATCGGCCGCCTGGCGCTCGCCGTGCGCGCGCACACCGACACCTGCCTGCGGGGCCTGCTGCACCTGCTCTCCTCCAGGGACGGTGGGTGGGCGCTTTCTAGGACTGCAGCTGCTCTCCTCCAGGGACGGTGGGTGGGCGCTTTCTAGGACTGCAGCTGCTCTCCTCCAGGGACGGTGGGTGGGCGCTTTCTAGGACTGCACCTGCTCTCCTCCAGGGACGGTGGGTGGGCGCTTTCTAGGACTGCAGCTGCTCTCCTCCAGGGACGGTGGGTGGGCGCTTTCTAGGACTGCAGCTGCTCTCCTCCAGGGACTGGTGGGTGGGCGCTTTCTAGGACTGCAGCTGCTCTCCTCCAGGGACGGTGGGGGGGGGCGCTTTCTAGGACTGCAGCTGCTCTCCTCCAGGGACGGTGGGTGGGCGCTTTCTAGGACTGCACCTGCTCTCCTCCAGGGACGGTGGGTGGGCGCTTTCTAGGACTGCAGCTGCTCTCCTCCAGGGACGGTGGGTGGGCGCTTTCTAGGACTGCAGCTGCTCTCCTCCAGGGACGGTGGGTGGGCGCTTTCTAGGACTGCAGCTGCTCTCCTCCAGGGACGGTGGGTGGGCGCTTTCTAGGACTGCACCTGCTCTCCTCCAGGGACGGTGGGTGGGCACCTTCTAGGACTGCAGCTGCTCTCCTCCAGGGACGGTGGGTGGGCGCCTTCTAGGACTGGCAGCTGCTCTCCTCCAGGGACGGTGGGTGGGCGCTTTCTAGGACTGCACCTGCTCTCCTCCAGGGACGGTGGGTGGGCGCTTTCTAGGACTGCAGCTGCTCTCCTCCAGGGACGGTGGGTGGGCGCTTTCTAGGACTGCACCTGCTCTCCTCCAGGGACGGTGGGTGGGCACTTTCTAGGACTGCACCTGCTCTCCTCCAGGGACGGTGGGTGGGCACTTTCTAGGACTGCACCTGCTCTCCTCCAGGGACGGTGGGTGGGCGCTTTCTAGGACTGCACCTGCTCTCCTCCAGGGACAAGGACAGTGAGTGGAGAACGCTCTAGGAAGCGTAGCTGCAACTGGACAGTGAGATGCGCACATTCTAGGACGCGTAGCTGTACCTGCTCTTGAGACACGCGATCATTCTTGGACACCTGGATGCATCTGCTTTCCTCCAAGGACGGTGAGATGCCAAAATTAAACGCGGGCTTTAAATGTTCAGTATTAAGTGTACAAGTTATACTTCTACGTGTGTTAACTAACGCGCACTTTCTTAACGCGTAGCTGCACCTACTCCCCTTAATGACGGTGAGAGCCGAACGTACACATTCTAGGACTCGTGTTTAGGTGCACCACATTCTCGTACGCAAACATCCTAGGAGATCGTCATGTAATAATATCCATTTTTTTACACTCCATGTCCTTTGGCTGCTGCTGAATTTATACCTAAATAATTTTGTGTGCTTGTTCGTTTAAAAAAAAATAACATAGAGCGCAGAGTTTCTTGTCAGTTCTCTGGACTGGTCCAGTTTATATATTTTATTTATTTATTTACACTTTACGCACGATCTAGTACAGAGGTACTAGAGGTAGTTCTAGTTTAGTGGACCGGTGGTAGTTTTTTGTCATTCAATAAGTAACAGCTTAAAATAAGGTTTTATTGAATGAAGACATTTTCTACTATATTCGGTATTCGGGGAGAGGAATAACTAATCGTTGTGTGCTGCAGAGTGGGTGGTGTGCGAAGCGGTGGTGGTGGTGAAGCGGGTGGTGGGCGGTGGCGCGAGCTCGGCCAGGGCGGCCGTTTCGCGTGCGGCTAAGCTCCTACGCTCAGACAGGTCAGTTATATCTTCAAACTAACTTCACAACTTGTATAAATTTTGCAAGATGTTTACTCCTTAGTAGAGAGCAGAAGCTCTTCTTTGGTACTCGTATACAGCGTGTCGTTACCATCGCGACAATAAATGAACACACATATAGGGGATAACTTTTTAAAGTTGTATTAAACATTTAATTCTTTAAAAATTCTGCAAAGAGAGGCTTGTAATGCGACGCTGTAGCGCGATGTTTACTACTTAGTAGAGAGCAGAAGCTCTTCTATGGTACTCGTATATAATGGAACAATGCAAACACGATAGCTCCAAATGTTTGGATATTTTATTGAAATAAAAACGCTGGCAATATAGGAAAATAGTATAAAGTTGTTCACTCAACTACACCAATCGGGTCGTCGAGAATAACTTGCATATACAATTATCACTATCACTAAATATTATAAAACAAAGTCTGTCCCCATGCATGCTTAGATCTTTAAAACTACGCAACGGATCTTGATGCGGGTTTTTTTACTAGATAGAGTGATTCAATAGGAAGGTTTATATGTATAATACATTGCACCCGTGCGAAGCCGGGGCGGATCGCTAGTGTATAATAAGCAATTATACTGTTGACGGTCAGACTAGCGGCCAGCGCCCGCGCGGCCGCCGTGTGGCTGGTGGCGGAACACGGCGCCCACCACCCGCGAGCCGCCGCAGTGCTCGCGCACATGGCCGCCACCTTCCCCGACCAGGTGCCGCCACCACCACCATCCCCACCACCAAACACACGCCCAACAATATTTGAGTGCACCCTGGTGCCCCACCACCCCCGCCATCCACACCACCACTCACACACTCACACTAATATTTTAATATATTTTTACCATGTACCGAGCGTACACCTCGAAGTTCATCTAGATCAGGGATTCCCAAAGTGGTCGATATCTATCTTTTTATCTTTACGAATAGAACAAAAAATATGTATATTGTGCGCTTACTTAATATTTTTTTTTCTTTTTATAGTCTATTTATTTTTAATTTTTTTTTATGCGAAAAGTTGTCAAACGAGCAGACGGTTCACCTGATGTTAAGTGAATACCGCCGCCCATGGACATCTACCACACTCGAGGGTTGCAGATGCGTTGACAACCTTTTGAAAATTGGGCTCCGGCTACCTCACTCACCAGACGAAACGCGAAAGTATTACACTTCCACTTTACGCTGGCCTTCTATGAGGTCGTGGTACTTACCCGGACGGGCCTGCCCATTCGTGCAACAGTCGAGGCTGCTGCGTGGCCCTACCACCGTAAATAATATACTACTCGTATAAAGCAATAAATAAATATATTACTACCCGCTTATCGCGTCCGTTGCCTACGGACGCTTGGGCCGACTGAAAATCAGCGCCGCAGTACTGCGCGGCATATGCTAGACGGTCCTTTTCGTCACTACATCCTTATTTATAAATTTCTTTTATTTTTATTGTCTGTATTACTTTAACTTATAATTTTTTTTCCTCTCGTAATTACTTTTAGGTTATTTGATTTATTTGCTTATTTTATTTCTATTTTTTTTTAGTTTGTTATTTTGTAATTATAAACATTGTAACCAAATGTAATATGTGTACAGATGAAGTGTCGGATTAAATGTCTTAATATCGACCAATGGAGGTCGAATTCAGTCTCCCAGGGCTCGACGTAAACGAACTAAAAATTAACCATAAAAAAAAACAAATCAAACCCTTTTCTCCATAAAAAAAAAATTAAAAAAAAACCCTACTTAACACTAATTCCTACAAACTTGCATTTTGCAAACTTTTCAGGTACTGTACAAGTTATGTTAAGTTTACCAACTTGTTATAAGAACGAATAATATTTTAGTACGAAGCAATAATTGTGTACATATAAAAAAAACTAGGTCTAAGGTCTAAAGCGGTGGTTATCACTGAACAGGTGAATCGACAGCTCGCTTTCCATCTTCCGAAAAAAAAAAAAAACAAATCATATTAGATGCATGTCAGACTCGTTTACTAAACATACCTACCGTTCCGAATATTTATTGACTCCTTGATTTTACGCGAATATTATACATACTAAATGAAGGGAGTTTACGGGATTTTGTTAAGTGAATACCGCCGCCCGTAATACATCTGCTAAACCCGAGGGTGGCAGATGCGTTGACAACCTTTTGAAAATTGAGCTCCGGCCACCTCGCTCACCGGACGAAACGCGAAAGTATTATACTTCCACTGTACGCCGGTCTTTATTTTATCGATTTTATTTTATTTTGTTTTGAAACTCCGGACGTTTCGAACCCTTTCCAGCGTTTGTGGTCAGTCTTACCCGTGTTTAGTTTCATTTAGTATCCGTTCCGAATAGACATAAAAAACTTGTGACTTTGCAACTTGCACCTTCCCATTGAACCACCAATCGTCCTTTGGTCCAGGACGAGCTGGTCAAGCTGCAGCTGCTCTCCCTGGCCGTCAAGCTGTCCATCACGCAGCCGGACACGTTGGCAATGTGCAGCTACGTCATCTCAATGGCGCGCTACGACGCGAGCTACGACGTGCGCGACAGGACGCGGCTGCTACGCCGCTTCGTAGACCCGAAACCCGGCACGGTGCAACACCTGCGGCGTTACACCACCACCATATTCTGCCCTGACAAGCCGAAACCGACCATAGAGAGCAGCTTTAAGGGTTAGTTTCGCTTAGCCTATAATTATCATATACATCGTGTCGTTACCATCGCGACAATAAATAAACACACGTCTAACGCTACTTGCCAATAATGATAAAAAAAGTATTAACATTAAACAAAATCCATAATTAAAAAAAAAATATTTTTCAAACAAACTAATTAAGTAAAAAAGAAACAAAATTTGTAACATCCTATACAACTACAACTTACTGATTCATACATTCCGAGACTTTTTCATTCGTTGCCACAGCGTCGCATTACAAGCCTCTCCTTCTAACAGTATGTTTTGACTCTTTTAAATTAATTCAACCCATTTATATGCTTTGTGACCTTTACAAATGAACTTTAAGGTAAGTTTACAGTTTTATACGTAAGGGTGTTCTAAAATTCTTTGTTTTGGAAAAACTGTGTTTGTTTAAAAAAAATCTGTGTTTAAAAACTCTGTAAATATTGATGTTTAAAGAATGTAAATGTTTAATACAATTTTAAAAAGTTATCCTCTATATGTGTGTTCATTTATTGTCGCGATTGTAGACACGCTGTATCCAAAATAACTTCATGAATATTTTTTTTTTGAAAAAATTGCCGCTACTATCTGATATCAGTGTATATTTATTGTTAATTCGAAGGTGAGATGTTGCCATTGCTATTTGTAATTTATTTTTTTAAGTGCCAACCCCTGCACTTGAGATAGAAATCGTCAATGTGTCAATCAGCCCTTTCGCTTAATGGTTAAAGTGTCTGGGCGTGAATCCGGAAAACGCTGGTTTGAATCCCGTAACGGCGAAAAACTTTTCGTCCATTTTTTCTACAAATTTGAATGTTTTATCTTAAGTGAAAAGATTACCACTTTAAAAATTTAAATTTTAAATAAACCATAACGTGCGAAACAATTAAGCGAAAATCACGTTACGAACCGCAGATCGGCAGCAGTTCACGGTGGGCTCGTTGTCCCAGTACATCGGGTCGGCCGCTACGGGCTACAGACCTCTACCGGCGGCGCCGCGCGTAGCCGTAGCCTCGGCTCTACGAGAGACGGCTCCCACGGCGCAAACGGCTACGCAGACTAACGACGACGGACAGGTCAGATACGCCCCTTCCTAGTTGCATTTAGATTGCAATTCAATACTTGCTTGTTTGTTAAAATGAAGAATATGTTAACTTTCTAACCGACCTCAAAAAAGAAGGTTTTTAACCGACTTCAAAAAAGAAGGAGGTTATCGTATATTTTTTTGTGTGTTCGCGGATAGCTTCGTCGTTTATGAATCGATTTTGATGATTTTTTTTTTATTAATTAAAACATGTAGAAAAAGTACGAAAAGATTGTCGCCGCTGTGAATTCTTTTTTTGTTGGAAAGGATCTGATGATGGCATCTCAGAGAATTCGAGGGCAATCCTCAAATGTTATGGTGTTGACAATGTTAAAAATGTTAAAAATGTTAAAAACATTGTCAACGCTTAAAACATATTTTCCTGTTTGAAGTCGGTGTCTTTTTGTTAAAAATTATAGATTTTTTCAAGTAAAACATACTATTTTAGGCACTTAGATTTCGGATAGGGAAAAAGTAGGTTCATAGTTTCGTGTCACCTACATACTAATGTCACGTGTGCCGACATTGACGTTGTAAAGTCAAAAAAAAGTAAAGTATCAGCCTATACATGTCCCACTGCTGGGCAAAGGCCTCCTTTGTACAGAGGGTATCAGGGCATAGTCCACCACGCGGCCCCACTGCGGATTGGCGGACTTCACATATCTTCGAAATATTATTTTTTGTCACAATTTCGAAAATATGCAGGTTTCCTCACGATGTTTTCCTTCACCGCTGAGCACGTGATTATTCAGCACGTAAAATTAACAATTTCATTGGTGCCGGCACCGGGGATCGAACTCAGGTTGCTTTGACGTTGGTGTCGTTAAAAATTTGATATTATTTGGTTCCCTACCCTACTATTTGTTTTCGGTAAGACAAATTTGTGCATTTATAATAATATGTTTTTAATAAAATAATTTAAAAAAATTGAAGTTATTTATTTGAAGTCTAAACTGTCAGAAATAAAATAGATATTTTGCAATTTAAATAAGTATTTTGTGATTTTAATTATTCATAATATTTCTCATTTATTGTTATTCCATTTAAAAATTAAAAATAAATAGTTATTTCAATTTTTTTTTACTTCTGCCAGTAGTCCTGCTGCTATTAATTTGTCTACTTTCCTAGAGTCGAGTCGAAGTGTTATTTTTCCCTCCTTTAATTTACTAAAAGTGGCAACGCATTTATAGCCGTCCTAGTTTTGCACATGGGCGGCGGTCACTTAACATCAGGTGAACCGCCGGCTCGCATCTGAAATTAAAATAAAACACAGTGATCTTGTTCTTAGAAAAACAAGAGCTTCTACTCGGAACCGGACAGCGAGGGATCCGGTTCCGGTTCCTCTTCCACCACTTCGTCCAGTGGCTCTGAGGAGTCATCAGATGAGTGAGTTGATTTTTTTTTATTTTTTATCTGTGAAAAGTTGACAAGCGGGCAGGCGGTTCACCTGGTGTTAAGTAAATACCACAATCCATGGACATCTGCAACACTCACATGCAATTGCAGATGCGTTAACAACCTTTTGAAAATTGGGCTCCGGTTACCTCACTCATCAGACGAAACGCGAAAGTATTATACTTCCACTTTACGCCGGTCTTCTGTAAGGTCGTGGTACTTACACGGACGAGCCTGCCCATTCGTGCAACAGACGAGGCTGCTGCGTGGCCCTACCACAGTAAAAAATTACTTATAATAAAAATACTTACCTCATCTCCGTCAATTTCTGGCTTTTATTCCAAAAAATATACCGATACTAATAATTGAAGTTATACCTCTTTTGGCGCGTTTGGGAAAAATTATGAGAGTGAATTTTTCAAAAATCAACACCTTGAACTTGATTGTGTTACCATGGCGACCAATAACAACTTTTTCAAATTCACCTATAATATCAACTTATTTAATTAAACCGTTATCAATTCAATTTTATGACTTTTTTTTTCACAAACAAATAGTACTGGCACAAGAGTTAAAGTTTTAGTTGTTAAGAAAAAGAAGTATAACTTCTTATTATTTATTCCACGTACTCTATCTCTATGTAGAGAATGTAGAGTAATTTGATCATAGTCTCAACTGTCTAAAATTATTTTTAGTCCAAGAAAAGACTAGTGACAAAATTATCTATAATATTTTCAGTTGACGCACAGAGGATTAATACATAATACAAGTTGTTAGTCAAGCAGAACGTAGTTGTTAACTTTTAATGACTTTATGGTGCAAATCATGATTGTTCAGCACCATGTAAGGGCAGAATGGGTTTGAATGAGTGAAATGATATAATGACTTTTAATCTATCCCTTTTATTTTCATAAATTTAAAAGTTTTTTATAGTGCTAATCTCTGCACTTAAGATTGAACATTAAAACATGTAGAAACAGTACGAAAAGATTGTCGCCGCTGTGGGAATCGAACCCACGTCTTCGTCAGGCCGCGAATGCGGCGATAATCTTTATGTACTTTTTCTACATGTTTTAATCTTTTATTTTCGTTTAACATATTTTTGCTCATAAAAAGATACCTTCAACTATCAATCTTTTCACTTTCAGGGAGGAAAGCAACAAAGAAGAGAACGAGAAGAGAGCGGAGAAAACTATAAAGGCGAACAATTATAGGTAACTGTTTGCTTTTACTTTCATAAGAGTGAACGGGACAGTGGTGAACGAGAGTTAATTGCACATTTAGAATTACATTGACTTGTTTTTTTTTTTTGTAACTACACAGAAACTTAAAATAAATGTAAACATAACAAAATAATAACAGTAAGCGACGGTCTGTGTAGTAGCATGAGACCGTGAAACGGACGGTACTCGGTAAAAGTCGAGATACAGTAACTAAAATTTGTTTTATTAAATTCCCTATACAATTTTTATGGGTGAAAGTACAAAATGGTATGGTGGCAAAACAAAACTGTACGCAGAGTCGAAATACTTTTACCACGGTAAAGTTTCTTTTGAAATGTTATTTTCAACTTTAGGTGGTAACCAGTGACGTTCTAGATGGTAGCGTGAAATTTGACATGAACAAATGTGTAGGAAGCAGCAATTAATCCACCGCAATCGGAGCTTTTTTATATTAATGTAATACATACATATTTTGCAAGTGATCGTTGAATACACGACCGCTTATGCCCTTTTGGAGGGTTGCCCACCTGTGGGATGCGTAGGCAGATGGTACATAACACTCGTGTCCTTAGATCGTCCAACTCCGGAACATCGGACAGCGACTCCGACAGTTCCGAGAGCTCCGACAGCTCGGACGCTAGCTCGTCAGAGAGTAGCGATGAGGAGGCCAAAGGCAATGCTGAGAAGGTGAGTGGTGGGATGGTGACCACGGTAGGTGAAGGTGGGAGGAAGGGAACGAGAGTATAGAGAGAGACAGGTAAGGGAGAGAAAGTCCTCTTTCGCCCGTAACGTGAGTAGAGAGTGAGAGGTAAGGGGGGAGTCCCCTTGTTCCCGTGACGAGAATATACAGAGAGGAGGGAGAGAAAGTACCCTTTCTACCGTGACGAGAGTGTAGAGAGGGGTAGGTAGGGGGAAAAGTCTTCTTTCTTCTGAGGAGAGTATAGAGAGAGATTAAGAACGTCGGGAAGGGGAATGATTGAAAGTGGGGGAGAATGTAAGAAGAAAGTCTATCGAATCGAGCATCGCTTCCATGAAGCGAAATAGCGCCACACAAAGAGCTGAAGCTGAACTGTGCAGGAGAAAAATAGAATGAGAGACAGAGGAGCGGATGAGATATTTTTTTAGTTTTAATTCGGATTTGGGATCCGTACCCAAAGGGTGAAACGGGCCCCTATTAATATGACTCCGCTGTCTGTCAGTCTGTCCGTCTGTCACCATGTAACTCAAGAAGCGCGGCAGTAAGACAGTTGTAATTTTCACAGCTGATGTATTTATGTTGCTGCCATAACAACAAATACCATACAAAACACATGATTTTGTTGCCGTTTTATAGATAACTATCTTTTCGCCCGCGGCTTCGCTCGCATTGAAGTCCTTAAATAAATATCTTTCTTCAAAAAAATTCCAATTAAAAATTGCCTATGTCCTTTCAGGCTGTAGACTATCTGTGTACCAAATTTCATTTAAATCGGTTCAGTAGTTTTGGCGTGAAAGCGAGACAGACAGACAGAGTAACTTTCGCCGTTATAATATAAGTATGGACGATTTTATAGATAATGGTGACCATTCGTGGGCGAGTCCGACTCTTACTTGGCGGGTTTTTTGAGTGCACAGAAACAACTGTCTTATTTTATCCAAGTTGTTTTCTCGCCTTGTCATCTATTGTTATGTCCCTTAGACCGTTTCAAATGACGTAGTACAAGGAAGAATCAAAAAGCAAATTACCGTTGTGTCGCAGGAGTCGGAGCCGGAGCCTGTGGCGCCGAGGGGCGGCGAGAAGTCCAACCTGGAGCTGCTGCTGGAGCTGGACGAGGTGGCCAGTTCTCTGCCCACCATGACGCCCACCTGTGGGGGCTTCCTCTCGCCGCCCACTCCTGGCGCGCCCCTCAACGGCCAGGGTGAGTTGCCACACCCAATTCGTAAACGTTGGACGCCCTCCCACGACCGAAGTGAGTTGCAACGTCCAATTCGTAACATTTGGAAATTCTCCACGGCCAAATTGAGTTGCAACGTCCAATGCGTAACATTTGGAAATTCTCCACGGCCAAAGTGAGTTGCAACGTCCAATGCGTAACATTTGGAAATTCTCCACGGCCAAAGTGAGTTGCAACGTCCAATGCGTAACATTTGGAAATTCTCCACGGCCAAAGTGAGTTGCAACGTCCAATTCGTATCGGTCCAAGTCTCTCATGAGTTGCCACCCTTTTTATTCTTGGTTTCTTACTCCTGTTGCGGTTCCCCAGCGCCAAGGTGGAACTTCTTCCAGCAGGCTCGCAAGTGCCAAGGCCCATTTTAAAGAGACCTTGATCATTTTGTTGATGATGTTATTTATAAGTTGTTACGTCACTTTACAAACAGCGTCCATATATTATGCGATCGGTTCACAGGCGACAGCATCACGCCCGTCGGCCCGTCGGCGGTGGCGACCAGCGGCGTTGAGCTCATGTCGCGGGTGGTGTGCTCCGGCTTGGGGGCCACGCGCCGCTGGACGCGCTCGCCCCACCTCTTCTCGCAGCGGATGTGCGCCCTGGAGGTCACCTTCACCAACACCACGGCCAGTGATGTCACGAACATACGCGTCAACAAGAAGGTGAGCCGTCGATCGGATTTAGACTTTATAGTGTAGCCGTTAAGGTTCAATTTTGTGTAATTTCAATTTGGTATGTGACGTCACCAACGCCGTGAGCAGTTGACCGAGTTTCGACTTTATGCTATGCCACTTAAGGTCTAATGTCAAGTGGCAAATGTTGACCAAATGCTTCGCCGTCGAATTGTACGATCCGGTTAAAGCGCACGGATTTAATACAGTTTTTGTCTTGTTTTTTTTTTCTTTTTATCTTCTCTCGTCTTTTTCGACCGTCGACATCTGTCCGTCGCAGACGTTGACCGGGTCGCGGGCCATCCACGAGTTCGCGGCCATCCCCTCGCTGGCCCCAGGCGCCTCCGCCGGCGGCACCCTCGGCGTGGACTTCGCCGACTCCATCCAGCCCATCGAGTTCACCATCATCAGCTCGCTGGGTGAGCCGCCGCCGTCATTACATTGGGAAACGTTTTCATGTTTTGCAGACTGCCCTAATGTCTGGTATACAGCGTGGCGTTACCACCGCGACAATAAATGAACACACGTCTAACGCTACTTGCCAATAATCATAAAAAAATATTAACGTTAAAAAATCGTTAATTAAAAAAAATATTTTTCAAACAAACTAATTGAGAAAAAAGAAACAATATTTGTAACACCTTTACAACTACTGACTGATTCATACATTCAAAGACTTTTCATTCGTTGCCACGGCGCCGCATTACAAGCCTCCCCTTCTAACAGTATGTTTTGTCTCTTTTAAATTCATTCAACTCATTCATTTGCTTTGTGACCTTTACAAATGAACTTTACGTTACAGTTTTATACGTAAGGGTGTTCTAAAATTGTTTGTTTTGGATAATTTAATAACTCGGTAAATATTGATGTTTAAAGAATGTAAATGTTTAATACAGTTTTAAAAAGTTATCCTCTATATGTGTGTTCATTTATTGTCGCGATTATAAAGACACGCTGTATATGTATATAGGCTGTTACGTTACTATGTCAATTGTCGTCGAACTCGGGATGGTGAAAAATAACGATATATCTATATTTTTTATAAAAGATCGATATTTTTTGACCCGATATATCGATATAAAATATTCAACATCCAAATCGTACCAAAAACGTTTCATATTAGGTGCAGAAATTAGCGATTATATAAAATAATATATAAAAAAATGATATAAAATTTAGACGTTCCCTGTTAATATCAGGCGAGGTACCGGTGTCGATAACGCCATCTGTCGGCGAGCTGATGAGGGCGGTGACAATGTCGGAGGCGCGGTGGGACGCCGAGCAGAAGAAACTACGCGGAATGACTGAGGTAATATCTAGGTCTGCTATTCGGATGTATCACTTTGTCCTTGTGACTTGACGAACACAAAGTGCTACATCCAAATTGGGATCACTAAAATAAAATTCCCCATTTTGTGTACAGCAAAGCAGTTTTCTAACGTCGATACAGACATTGTGCGCCTCTCATCCTATTTTATTTCCAAAAACATCATCGCACCTACGGCCCAGAGTATTGCCGATACGGTACCCAAAGCTAAATATACAATTTGCGATCATTTAAATTTGCCGAATATCTTAGACTGAAGAGTCCTTTGCAAATATAAAATGACAATCTGCGCTCACAGTGCGACAAGAAAACTGGGAAGCTTGCCGAGGACTCTGCGATCTGCAAGAGGGTGTTCGAGACAGCTAACGTCGCGGCTGTTACCGCCACCGGCAGCTTCCTGAGGTACTTTGTTTTGACTTTTTTTTAATGCAAAATATATGGTAAACGAGCTGGGCGGTTCACCTGACGTTAAGTAATAAACGCCGCCCATGGACATTTTCAACTCCCGTAGGATTAGACACGTCACAATACTTTTTCGCTTCCAATCACCATTTCATTATGTACGAGTCCACTATTTAACAAAGGAATCCCCCACATACCGCCAGAGCTGCTTATGTTTTGAAACATATACGAGCCTTAGTTTTTTACGGCCCTAGTTACGATCTATTCACAATCGTACACCTCCATAATTATTCTAACGCTGTCAAACCTGAGGTCAATTAAGCGAATAATAATTTGACTGTCAATAATTAACGAATTATTGATTCCTAAATAATGCAAGGCACACTAACGGTTCCAAAAACTCATTTAATCACGAACATGGCACGCAAGTCTGTGAATTATAACAATATTATACTATTATATTTATATTATACTAGCTGGTGCCAGCTGCGCTTCACCTACATAAAGCACTAACACTAGCGCCACCTATTCGGCACTAACGTTACTGTATTCGTCTTAGTTACTATAAGGCTTATTAATTGTGCTAACGGTTCTCGAGATTTAGGTGAACATAGATACATTATATTAAATAGCCTGTCCGTTGAGCAGGTTCGCCGGGCGGCTGATGTCTTCCCAGGAGCTGGTGCTGGTCTCCGTGAGGGTAGCTGCGGACGGCGGAATCGTCGCCGCCAACTGCGCCAACGTGGCGGTCGCCTCGCTCCTGGCCAGCGAGGTGGCTTCGGCCCTGGCTTGCTAGTGCCAGGCTTAAAACCCCTTCCCTAGCCTCGCTTATCAGGCAAACGGGCTGGCGGTCCGCCTAATGCGATATAAAGTGGACAACCGAATCAAATAAACGTCTGTAAACACACGTTTTAAACATTGGGCCCCGGTACCCCTCCAGATGAAACGCAGAAGTGTAACACTTCCACTTCTCGCCGGTCTTGTGTGAGGTCGTGGTACTTACCCGGACGAGTCTGCCCCAGTGGTTTGTCTTACAGTACCCATACCTTAATGGTAAGCTTTGCAGCATATTCCCCTGTTGCACGAATGGGCAGGCTCGTCCGGGGAAATGCTTCAGAAACTTCCAGTCTTTCAAGTGTTTATATATTTGCGGTTCATCTCATCATATTGAATACAAATCAATAGATTTAGCACTGGTGATGTGTCAATGAGCGCCATTCACTATGATAGCCACAAGACTCCCGTCGTCTTATTGGGAATAAAAAAGAAAGTGTTATTGTGTTAAGTTTTATGAGCGAATTTTCCTTGGTCGGATTCTGTAGAGCCTGATGGCCCCTTCACCGAGAATGCTTTTTCTATAAAAAAAATATTAAAACTAAAAACTATTGGATAGCTATTTCAACATTCTTGGCTGAACTTCAAAATAGTGTCACATAAATTAAATTATACAATGAACTTTCCTAAATATGTTTCCTTTCATACATTGTTTATAACATATCTATCTTATATGTTGACTGTTGCAATTGTATGAATGCCTATTATTTCTTTGATATGTTAAATGGCTATTTCACCTGCATAAGTTGTATGATTGATATAACATTTATGTGCAATAAATACAAATATTTTTGTTTCTATGTATGTTACATTATTTTGTATAAGAACTAAATAAATGATCAAGACTTGTATGATTTTACTGTAGACTGCAATCAAAAACTTGGTGTGCTAGACAGGTGAAAAATTTTGCTCTTCTTCGAATTCAAAAATTGAAATTGTACAAATTTTAGAAGCAGGATAAATTAGTGTTTTTTATTTTATTTTAATATCAATAAAATGATTCTCAACATTATATCATAAAAGAAACTACTGCTCATTACATGTTAACCATTGTTCTATGTTTAACCAAACTTTCTTGACCCTTATATCGACAGGTGGTTTGGTCACAAACTTGAGGCAGTTGTTTCTGTTATATTTTATTCACCTATTTTGTCATCCTTTACGCAATAGTAATTAAAACTGTATACTTCACTTGTAAAAGATGTGACTATATCTCTTTCTAAATTGCAGATTATACAATAGCTTTGTTTTTTTAGAATTTAATACTGTTCAATATACATATAAGTATATACTGGTAAATAAAAATTTAAATAAATATGTGGTTTGATATATGCAGCACATTAGTTTTTGATAGTGTAGGATACATCAATCATCTTCTTAAAAATGGATTCCTGTTCGTTAGTCTCGCTAAAACTCGAGAACAGCTGGACCAATTTGGCTAATTTTAGTTTTGAAGTATTTGTGGCAGTCCAGGTAAGGTTTAAACGATGAGAAATTTTGAAAAATTTTATGGAAAATCGAAATAGCAGCACTTTTATTTTCCCATACAAACTGTACCTGTCAACGTCTCAACTATGTCTGTGTATGTGTAGCCTGTCACACTTTGTGTGTGTTCCGATTCCTCTAGAAATAATTTATACGGCAAAACAACGTTTGCTGAGTCAGCTAATCATCAATACATATATCTATATAGATATATATATTTGTATATATATTTATGCTTTGCTATGCAGATCATTGCAAAGGGAAGAACAATGCCTGCCAGGCAGGCAAACAGATAAAATAAGTATAAACATAAACTTACATGAACACTACAAAAAACTCCATTTGATTCAGCTTATTAATTGAAAATGATTCATGGTTCTATTCTTGCAGTGTCAATAATGATTTTCAATTGAGTTAGTTGGAAGTTGGAATTGTTAAAGGGAACTAATATATAATATAATGAAAGGAATTTCCTTATTGATTGGCAGTTTAATCGTGTTTTAACACATTATTTTCTTGAAATCAAAGAATTACTACATAATTCCTTATTTATCTTATTATGTTTCACCTAAACCTGACTTTTCCTGGTCCATTACCTTATTGTTTTCTGGTATCATTTCTTATGGTGACAGGTAGTGCGATCACTATTCATCTAGTATGAAAGTTAGGCAGTGTTCATTACAATGTGAGAAATTCGAAATACTAAACTCGCTCAAGGCCAACCCTTTAACTAATATATTGCAATTAAAATGAGATTCCACAGAATGTTTCTTTACTGTCTAGTAATTTAACCATTCTTTAAGTGCAGTGACTATTCTAAATTTCTATGTACAGACAATACAAACACTTTAAAATCCAACATTATACACAATTCTTAAAATAACTTCAATCCATTCAAAAATAGTGAGCAATAGACGGAGGTGCTTAGGCACAACAAATAAATGCTAGTCTTCAGTGTCTACTCAGGACAGCTGTACATGGTCCTTACATTTAATCCTATAATTATATGATTAAATAAATGAATACTGATTAACTCAATGCTGGGGATAGTGACCCCAGCCAGGTGCCATGGCCAAGCTGTATGTTGGGTTGTTCATGACAATCCTTGGCCGTTTGTTAGGGTCCTCATGCTGCATGTGCTGTTGCATCATTTGATGCGGATGACTCATCTGAGGTGGAGGATGGGTCTCCAGCGGTTTCTCCTTCTTCTGGCGCTTCTTGGGCCCGGTGCAAGGCTCTGGCGGCACCCGCCTTTCGTTCCACAGCCTGTCCACTAGCATTGCCCTCGCTTGTACACCATTGGGATCCTCCACTTGCTTCCTTGATATTGGACTGTTGGCAACTTTCTGCTTCATCGCCTCCAAGCGCTCCTCTGTTTGGGTCATTGGGACGACCGGTAAGCCCCGCCTGTTGCAGATGTTGTGCAAGACACAGCATGCGACAACCAGCATTGACACAGTCTGCGGATCGAACTGCTTATTGCAGGTAGCTTGCAGACATTTCCATCTCGACTTCAGGTGCTTAATGGTCTCTGTTACTGCTAGGTGCGTCTGCGTGTGGATATTGGTGTAGTACTTTTCTGGGGAAACGGGTGATTTCTTTGTTATTCTTGGTACTGGAGTCATGAGGTATGGCTTCTGTGAGTAATGAGGACTGCCTGCAATGGGTTTTTTTTAACTGTTATAGACAGCGACTTCTTAAAATATAACTTAATTTTTAATAAATTTGGGAAACAGTCAGTATATAATGAATAAACACAGGACAGAATTACGAAATAAAAACCAGTACCAATAAGCCAGCACTGCTCTCCCGAATTATTGAGGCTCTCTAGGTCTATCCTGACTGCATGCTGATTTAATATTGTATCATGTGAGTATGAACCACCAGGCTTTGCTTCCACACTTAATATATTTAAATCACTATCGCATATCTGTAAAAAGAAATAAGTTATCAATTTTTATTATAATATTTAAGCTTTAGTACCAAACATTGAGTTCAATGCTGTGCCAACATTATACAAATGCAAAATCAGTTACAAAGTCAATTGGCCAACATCACTGCCCTGCAATAAAAAATATCATATGATAAATATTAAGAAAAAGAGTTCACTTACAATCTGTACTTTCTTGGAATGATAGGACTTGTTGAAATGTCTTTTCTGGTCTTCATCGGGCCTGGCGATTGGTACATGTGTACAATCTATGCACCCCACTACATTTGGTATACCATACTTCATGTAAAAACTGTAATATAATGGAAATCCCATCAGGATTGTAAGTATAACAATAAAAAAAAAAAACAATTATACTAATGTTATAGTATAGAAATCAAATTAATAAAAATTACATTACCTAGTTTTTATGATATCTCTTTCATTTCTTAGATGTGGGAAATGAATATATTTCTTTACAATACTGTGATGGTTCATAGCTTCTGTGACCTGCATGACAGCGGTAGAAACAAAGTATTGTGTAATACTAGGGTCCGTTTTGCCACCAACAGACTTTTGGTACTTCCCCGATGCGTAGAATGATAGTGCTGCCATTACCTAGTGATGAAATAAACATCCTGTTTGCAATAAAATAACAAAAACAACATTGAAGCTTAATTGTGTGCATATATGCCTTATAAAGCAAGTCATAATAATGACTTATGAGTAGCCTAAATATATCATCAAGAGGAGTTAATATTTATTAAAATGTAGAATAGATATTTCTCTTGTTGGTCAAAAGACAAGTTTGCTTCCAGGTTGTTCCTTAAAATATATAACAAAACTATAACAGAATAATATGAAGCCAGTGTTTTTATCTCTATATAAGTGAAACAAGTTGGGGAGGTAGTAAATCCTTTTTTTTATCTTGACCTATACATTCCTAAATATAAATATGTAAAACTAGTGTATAAATATTCAAAAACTCACTGAATTCTTTGCCTACATTTATTCCTACAGATAAAAGTTAAGACAATCTTATTTACAAACAAATCGGCCGATATATAGTTTTTATTGTAAGAGCAAAATAATTTAAGTAACTATATTTATGTGTTGTGACTACACTACACACCTTACATTCGACAGAAAATTCTATAGATTTGGTTGAATCGGGCATAACAGGTTTTATCTCCTCACAAAGGCCGCGCGCTAAATCTTTAGAAAGACGATACGTCTCTATAAAGGCGGGATCAGTCAAATCAAACGGATCTACATCCTCTTTAGCCTTCGGAAGCTTTTTCTCAGGACTTTTTGCTTTCTCCAAACTCCTTTGCTCATGTTGTTTGTGTGTTTGTGACGAATCCCACTTCAGCAACTCGAATATTTCCGGTTCATCATCAACCACCGATATGTAGCCTTCTTCTGGCGGCTTATCGGCCATTTTTACAATGTTTTTAAACAAATATTTTTATACAACAAATTCACACAATACCGAAACAAACGCAGCTTGGGTTGACGAAATTTGACAACCATAAACTTTGTGTTGCCACTTATTAAATTGTGTTAAATGTTAAGGTTTCGAAGTTATTTGTTTTGTATGTTATTAGTTTATTTATAATAATTACTAATAAACGTTTTTTAACCATTTATCTCAGAGTGATAGTACAAAACTCGGTTTAATTTGGGGTAATCAATCCTATTCATTTGCTAAGCTTTGGTGCTGGTGGTAAGTCATACGTTCAAAACCCACTCGAGATATATACATACAAGCTATTTATGAGAATTGGACTTGCTACTTTGACTCATGAGAATAATGAATTTTAAGTAAAAAATCCAAACAAGTAAGTTGCTTTCAATATTCAAAGATTGCCGGTTATATTGGGCCCACAAAACCATTTTTTCAAATTAAAATGTATTTTGGGTCATTGATTTTGTAGAGCAAGAGTAGTCAGTACCTAATTAAAAGTTTCTAAGGTTCTTTAATACATTTAAAACCTTAAAATTTGTAGAAAAAAGTACAAAAAGTTTTTCCACCGCTGTGGTAATCGAACCCAGGTCTTCTACTAACTGTTTTCTACAAATTGTAATGTTTAGTATTAAGTGCAGAGAGTAGAAGTATAAAAATTTCAATTTTTAAATTTAGAAACGGTTAATCCAATGAAATTTGTTTTAATTAATTTAACGAATGCAGTTGTTTCTAATTTCGTCATCTATGTCTTTATTTGACGCGTTACGACATAAATGATGTTTTTTATAATATAAATGACGCATGCCCATACTGCGTGGCATTTAAAAATTGTTCTATATGTGAGTGAATGTGATAGAAGATATAAAACGTTTGATACGGATAGATATAGCAGTCTATAATATCGCTAAGGCTAAGACAGCTCACACGTGAAAAGTTACTTAGTCGTGCCTTGAAATGTTCATTGATCAACGTTTGCTGACTCGATAGGTGTAGTGGATATCAGACTTGTTTCTTGCGCCAGAAGGTATGGACTCGATTCCCACTACTGGAAAAAACTACTCAGACATCACACAATATTTTTCAAGACACCAGATAAACGAGTGTTTATCTTGTGTCTATATATACGAGTAGATGCATATGTTTATAAAAAGAAAGTATGTTTAAGTATGTCAGTTACCAAGTACCCAAGGTACAAGCTTTGCTTAGTTTCGGGCTAGATAAAAAGTCAGCTGTTTTGGTTTGTTTACAAACATTCTACATCGAATTTGACCGGAGTTTATCTAAGAGTTATTGCAGTAGGACGAAAGTACTCGATCTTCCCAGTTTTTTGAGGAAAGAAGTTCACTGAATTGGTACCTATTATAATAAGTAGTAGTAGTAGGGCATATAGTGGCAGGTAATTTGAAAAAAATTAAATAAAAATGTGTTATGTTGCGAGTTATAGAGCAAGGGACAAACGGCAAACGGATATTTCATTTGCGGATATCTAAGAGTAGCAATTGACACACATGAGATATTCCCAATCTTTTAATGTAATCGAGTTGTAGTTTTATAATCTATATAAAATAGACTTGGTCCTTTTCTAAAAAAAAATATATAGTGTAAGAGATAAGGATCTTTATAAGCACGTAAAAAGTACAAGATCAATTTCAATGAACTATTGTAAGTTTTACTTTCTGACATTAATTTTCATTTATTGTAAATTTATCAAAGTTTTAATACTTTTATAGGCACTACGTTAACAGTAATGCGTGTCTTCTTGTATAGATAGATATAATAGATGAAATACATCGACATCTATCTTCTTGTTCTAAATTATAAAATACTCGTGTCACAATGTTAGTTGCCATACTCCTCCGAGACGGCTTGATAAATGGTAGGTCTAAGAATCTGTCGTAGTCTGATATTGTCATACCCCTAAGTGATAAGAGATCATCCCAAACATTGTTATCTACCCTACAAATTCCCTAGAAATAATTTATATGGCAAAACAACGTTTGCCGGGGCACCTAGAAAAAAATAAAATCATAAAGGTCTGCCATCGTGCGTGCATCATAAAAATACTACTGAATAGATTGCAATTAATTATTTTAAGTTTTATTTAAACTCGGCTCTTATTTAATAAAATGTGTGAAATATCCATTTAGTGTAAATAAATATATTAGGACACATTTTTAAACAACGTCTCTAGTCCCAAACTAAGCAACGCTTGTATTGCCTATGGGTACTAGATAACTGATAAACATACTTATATAGTTTTCTTTTGTAAATAAATACATATTATACATATATACAACGTGTCGTTACAATCGCTACAGTAAATGAACACACGTCCAACGTAACTACTTGCCAATAATCATAAAAAAATATTAACGTTAAAAACAATCCATAATTAAAAAAATACATTTTTGAATCAAACTAATTAAATAAAAAACATTGTAAACTTGTAGCATCCTATACAACTACAACTGACTGATTCATACATTCAGAGGCTTTTTCATTCGTTGCCACAGCGTCGCATTACAAGCCTCTCCTTCTAACAGTATGTTTTGTCTCTTTTAAATTCATTCAACCCATTCATATGCTTTTTGACCTTTACAAATGAACTTTACGTTAAAGTTTTATACGTAAGGGTGTTCTAAAATTGTTTGTTTTGGAAAATTTAATAACTCGGTAAATATTGACGTTTAAATAATGTAAATGTTTAATACAATTTAAAAAAGTTATCCTCTCTATGTGTGTTCATTTATTGTCGCGGTTGTAAAGACACGCTGTATAAACACCCAGACACTAAAAAAACACGATGTTCATTACACAACATTTTTCCAGTAGTGAGGATTGAACCCACACCCTTTGGCGCAGGGGGCAGGTACACTACCCACTACGCCATTCAGGTCGTCATTATCAAATTTATGAAACTTTTGAGAAGCAACGAATTTTATAGGCACTACGTGTTCACAGTGTTGTGTGTTTTCTTGCGGTGGAGAAGTGGGGCAAGCGGTGTAATCTAATATATAAAATTCTCATGTCACGGTGTTTGTAATTGAGCTCCGAAATGACTCGACCGATTTTCGTGAAATTTTGTGTTGTTAAAATTGTTAAGGTGGTCCACTCCAAACATTTTTTAATTTATATGACAAAACGACGTTTGCCGGGTCAGCTAGTTTTTAATATAATAAGAAACGCAAACGAAGTCAACGAATACAGAGAAGCTTTGAATCTGTCAAGTACGCTTAGTATTTGTTTTATAATAATATAGGTATTAATAACGTTTATTATTTACCTACTGACTTAAGTGTTTTTTTTTTGGTAAATCGGGTATTTCGGAAATAATAGTGTGGTTACAATTTATTCATAACCACGAACCACGGCTTTCTGTTTCGTGGCTGTTTGTTAGCTGCCGCCCGATTAGCGACCGAGCTATTATAACATTTTTTTTTCGGTGAAATTTACCGTCGTATTCGAATAATATTTTTCACACTGGGATAAAACGACATTTTCTAAAAATGAAACCTAGTCAGATCGATTTTTCGCCCCCGAATCTATGCACATACTAAATTTCATGAAAATCGCTGGAGCCGTTTCCGAGATTCCAATTTTACATATATATACAAGAATTGCTCGTTTATAAGATATATATATATATATACATATATAAATATATATATATATATATATATATATATATATATCTAATTGGATCATTTACACACTTATTTCTTTACTTTTATGAATAAATTGTAACCACACTTTTATGTAGTTGTAGATGTGAAAACTTAATAATATTTACCTATTATTTGTGTATGTACAACTCGAAAACATTTTGGTAAAGTTTTCTCCAAGTTTTTTGAAAATCGTAAAAGAGTTCGGAGTCAATAAAGCATACGGGCTGCTCCTTCGATTCTTCAAAATTCGTGCAAAAATATTATTCTGAATTAACATACTTATAGTAAACTCTGTAACGTATTTATTCATAAGCAGTAAGCATTTCTATTAAAAATGTGAGAAGGTGGAAAGTGTGCTGGCGGTTTATCTGAAGTTAAGTTATAAACACTGTACACTGACGTTTGCAGCAACCGTAGGGCTGCAGATGCGAGATTGCTGCATTTTGAGTATGCCCCGGCTACCTCACTCGCCGAAACGCGAAAGTATGATAATTCCACTTCACGCCGGTTTTCTGTGAAGTCGTGGTTACCTGGACGTGACTTTCCTAGCCGGACCTGCTTATTCGTACAACAGCATAGACTGTTGCGTAGAACTACCACAGTTTACCTTTTTCAATTCTCTTCACAGCACTAGGTACGCAAACTATACTTCTGCCTAAGTTTAATGAATGTAAAATACATTTATTAGTATCATTTAATATACAACCGGCAAGTAACCAACTTTCTATGGTCGGCACAACCTAACTCCTCAGAACTTTCTCTTTTACACATTACCGTGGGGACATGTTGCATCGATAATCCCGCCTCCTTAGACGCACCATGCCCCGTAATTGATACATTAGTGCCTTGTTATTAATTTCTCGAATTTAATCGAGTAACGTAGAATAAGATAGCGTAAATAACAAAACGGTTGGCTCTGCTACCAATGAGTCATTTTATCTGCGAATGTTTTTTTTTTTCAGTGTCGCGCGTCACCCGCTACTGGTGTGACGCGTTATGGAACGATATGTGACGAATAGCAAAATTATCGCCCATCTGTATAACGTACCGGTTAACCGATTTAAAGTAAAACCGACTCTTATGGGGTGATGTGAATGCTAAGTGAAAGTATTAAACAGGTGAGTTAAAAAGGTGTTATACTTACTTCTCCCATTCTTTGCGGCCTGTACTTATTGGGTACGTCCGTTAATACATTCTATTTGAATAATTGCCTAGCCAATTTGTAAATTGGACGTTATTAGAATAATAATTATAGCCCAGAGTGATATTAATGACCGTAGGATTAAGTTCACACAGTATTGTATAAAG